TATATATATATATATATATATATATATATATAAAGTTTTGCAATATGTTTAAAAAAATATTAAGCAGTAAAAATAACAAGTGTGCACTAAATTATTTATTAAAAAAGGTCATAAAATAGTAAAATGTATAAGTGAAGGCAGCATTATGTATCATGTCCTTCGTGAATAATCAAAATAAATGTCAGCAACAGAAATAATCCTGAGTATGTACTATGTTGTATTACAATATTATGACGGTTACTCGGATTTCGATCAATACCCATTTCGTCATTTATTTAAAAGCATCGAACATAATGAAATGATTTGTCGCATTTATTAAGTATATTATACCAATTTTCTATTGTCATATGTAATCCAAGAATGACGAATGACGATTAAATCGAGCGTATGTCGTTAAATAATATTATTGAAATAGCATTTCCCTTAATGTTACTGCTAAATTAAACTGTCATTATTCTGAAAAATGAAATTTTTATTTTACAAGATTTCATGTAATTGATTTTATTGATTAATTGAGGTCAAATAATTTTAAAGACGTACTCGAAATCGCATTTGCTTTACTTTTTTGCTATTCAATGATTATGTTGTAAGCGATTCAGCTGTGGATCAAAAATTGTAGAAAATATGATACGTAAAATGACTTGATTGTACTTGATCGTTATTTCGCGCCAAGAGCGCTGTAAAAATTCGCAATTTTGTTGAATTTTCTTTCGTGCCATAAAGTGAAAAATTATGTGATAATGTGAAATTATGTGATGACAGAATCCGATAAACTGTGAAAAAAATAAGAACATGCTCCGAGTCAAGTGAGTGAAAAGTTATAGATGCATTTGTAGCTTATGGTACACTAGTGAAAGGATGATGTCAAGTTATGTTGTCCATGAAAAATTTGCCTTTTTTTTATAATTTTGATAAAAGAGATACCTGCATATGCGCTGTAAATGGATCGTAATGTTCAATCAAAACGAGAAATTATAGGACAATATTCATGACGACTTTTTGTGATGACCGTAACGTCATTTCGTCAACGCGACGTAGCGGAAAGTTGTTGAATATGTATCGATCGCCTAAATCGTATTTTATTAATATTTGCCATATTATTACTTAATATAGCTTAATGTAGCTTAATATAAGAAATATTTAGTAACAAAAATATAAAATAAATGAGAAACGAATAATGTAGATAAAAATTTAATAAATTATATCTTGTTTTGTGCATGCTAATAACAATTATATATTATAATCATTATTTTATATATATATATATATTAATTTTTTTGTAAGCGTGTTATTAATATAGAATATTATAGAATAGTTCTATAGAATATTATAGAATAGTTTAAACGTTTTAAAAAATGTTAAAAGAAGATGCTATCGGAGAAGAGAAAGCGGATTATGATCACGTTATAACTGATATCGCAAAGATTTCGAAGATTACTGATTTGAATATTTCATATTTCGACGTACATAGGCGATCGATGATATTTTGCAGTTACACAGCGAATTCTATAAATATTTTATAGGAAGGCACAGTATTATCTGCGTCATGAAATAACTTATGGTTACGATGGAGAAATGGTTACGTGCCTAAGAAACTATAAAAATTCCGATCCGCGTCTTCTATACATCGGTCCTTTTAACATCTCAAATAGTAAAACTCGAGAGGAAACTTAATTTCACAAATACCGATATTCTTATAATGACAGTCGTGCGGTTTCTTCGAGATAAATTCTTGAGATTACAAAACGAAGAAAATCATCAGCGTCAGAAATATTACATAGGTGCATATAAAATATTTCTGCCCCCAGATTTTCATTTTATGGTTTTAGTTTTATCATTTTTTGCTTTTTTTTTCCTCATTCTTCTTTTCATTCTTTACAATTCGCACTAAGTAAGTAACGAATAAAAAATAGTAGAAGAAAGAATTAAAAATTAAAAATACGATTAAACCTTAGTTAATGACAAAACAAAAATATCCGTTCTTTAATTCTATATTCTTAAACCTAAATGCTCGCCATTTTTTACACAGCGACATCGTTACCAAGTGACAAGAAAAATAATGTCGTGTTGCATAATGCGCGAGGCATTCATTGCCGTCAATCGTTCTTGTAAGATTGCGACGTATTAAATCGCGCGTGTAATGGAAACGACGATGTCGTAATGATACGCCGTACTTTCTTGCCGTTGGAAACACGTAGAAACTGCGACCACCCTTTAGATACACGCTTCTGATATATCCGACGTTGTTTCAAAGCTCCAGAAAAGCACTTTCCTTTTTGGAAGTCTTTTGGAAGATGATAAGGAATTAGAATGAATGTACATCTATATCAGTGCAATGCTCAAGTCCAATATATCCTTTTCCATCAATTAAATTTTATTAATTAAGGATTTAATATTGTAGCACTTTTTCACCCTTAAATTCCTGCATTCACACTTTGTTTTCAATATTCAAATATTTTAAAGTAAATTCTAAATATTTGATCCATCTAATAAGATTTGGCATGTTTTTTTTTTTTTTCATGTCTAGTCTATTTTCGGATTAACTAGTAATTTTTTAAAAAATATATAATAAATATATATAATAAATGCATTAACTTTCGAAGAGATTTTACGATGATACGAGGTCGTTTGCGTCTGACAAAGTTTTCCCGAGACTTTCTGGAAGCCCCTACCTTACTAGAGAGACTTTACGACCTGTTTTCGTCGACGCGTTAACCGCGGAAACTTACCGTAAAGCCGGATGTTCCCCTCAGCATCGCCGATAGAGTTCTTCGAGATGCATTTGTAGCCACCCAAATCGTGTTTCTGCAAGTTCATAATCACCAATCGCATCTGCACGCTATATACCGATGTCTTCTGCTCGGACATTGTGTATTTGCTGTTACTGATTATCATTTCGTCTGAAAAAAAAAAATACACACACACACACGCTCAATTCAATTTTAGAAATTGAAACGTAAGAAATAAGTTGTAATAAAAAAAAATTAAGTTAAAGTTATAATAAGTATTTCTATTAATCGAGATAATTTCGAGATAGATATCAAAAGATATTTTCCGTTTCTGAATAAAATACGAATACTCTTCCAACTATATAAAATATTTTAAATTATTTAAATTATTTTGTATTTTAAAATTTTTCAGCATTTTAATTTGAAATCTTTCAATTGATTTGACGTTTTAACATTCAAATCGAGATCGAGTGGCAAGAATTACGCTAATTGCACCGTTCCATTACCTGAGTCTCGAGTCCAATAATTAATGGCCTTGGGTGATGCCTCCACGAGGCAGATCAATGTGACGTTAGTTCCGATCGGAGCCCCGACCAGCTGGTTCGGTACCTGGACCATCGGATGAACTGTAAACCATAACGATTCGATCAGACGCGATCGTGCTAACCGAAACAACGACGTAACATCGGCGACGCATCTGCGCGCGCGGTTCTCCACAAACTAATTTCTCTAATTGAACGTCATCGCGTCGCTGACGCCACAAAGGATATTTTTCTGATTTCTTTCAAAGCGAAGATCTCGAGATAGGGAAACAACGATGGTGCATTGTACCATTTGCACAATTCAATCGCCTTACCTCAGTAGTTACAGTGTGGTCTCTCTTTGTGCGGGTGCGTCATTAGCGAGCTACGTGAGCACCTCACGCTAATGAAACACGCTGACAGATTGTCATTTAGCGAGCGAGCGGAAAGGACGCATTTTCTATCTCTTCCTTTCTCCTCCCCTGCCCCCCCCACTCCCCCCGCCCCACCCCACCCCCTTCTCTATCTTTCTCTCTCTCGCTCGCTTTCTGTCTCCACTTCATGGCAGCGTTGCGCCGCTTTTCATTTCGAGTATCGTAAGCAGCTTTTCGTGAGCTGCTTACATTTTAACAGGCGACCACGCCGAGCACTTCTTCTTTCGGCCAAAGCTCGGCCAAACGTCGTGTCGTCACAAAACGCTTACAGTGCGTTTTACAGCGGCTACTTAACCCCCCACCAATTCTGAAATTCTGCTTCCAGGAAAAACGGCTAGTAGCCAGTTGAATTCTCCCATTTCTTTATTGAGATGTTATGCACAAGAGAAATTTCTTTGCACATTATAAATATCGTATTTCATGGCACAATCTGCCATTGCTATTAATAAAGTTTTGACTTAATTATACTGAGTCATTGCTCAGTAAATTATAAACAAGTAGAATAAAAAGAACATATACATTAAATAATTAAGTTGAGATACGTTGAATTTAACAAAATTATTATTTTAACAGTTATGTAATGTATATATTTTGGATTCAACAACGAATTTAAATCGCTATAATATAATTTATGTAAAAAATTAATTGTAAATATAAAATGTTAAATATAGTAATGAGATAAATCAATTGTGTAAAGGAAAAACATATAATCATGTTTCAAAAAAATGTAATTACATATTGCAAGTTACATAATTTTCTTAAGGCATATGTGTGTTTTTAAGGCATATCTTCTTTACATCTCAAATGATCTATTGTATTACTTACGAAAATAATGATTTTTTTTACAAAAAGAAAAACTACGTTATGTAATTTAAATTATTATCGATTGAGCCTAATCAGAATATAATCGGTGCAATTATTACTACGATAAGTACGAAATAATTTATTTCAGAGTTTTGCGTAAAGATAACTATCAGGCATCTCAGGCTTGTTTTACATCATCGTTACGCGTAAATTTAGCAATGAGACACTATCCATCTCTCGATATTGTTTTGTTAATATGTTAATATCTGAGTAATCCTAAACGACATAAATGGACACAACATACATAAAAATATGACAAATATAAATGGATATTTGTATCCATAATGAAATTTAATTAATGCCATTATAAGCTTTAACGATTCTCATCGTTAAAAGATAATACCTCATAAAATGAACCGTACCTTGGCCATTTGTAGTAGTAAATATTACATCAGTGATATCGAGTGGGCAGAATACTTAATGACAATATTATGTAACATGGTAACGGAAAAATTAAGATGGCGCGAGATAAACTAGCCCTTTTTTCCTGGAGGATCTTTGGATCGACTCTTTATCTTTTCAAGCGTCGCTTGGGAAATATATGTGCTCATGCCAAGCTTGTGCACACCAAAGATCCTAGCAACTCCAAGAAGACCCTTTTATATGAGAAAAGGGAATACGCAGGATGTTTGGCGGTACGTAACCGTAACTCAGGTACCTCAACATTCTCGGATAAAAATCAAATAATTCTGATACGTATAGATTTCATACATTTCATACATCGAAGAGAAAAAAAATCTGCTTTATCGATTAATTACTTTTTAAATAAAATGTTACTTTTGCAATAACGTGATTTGAAGCGTTTCTTCGAAATTTTACGATGGTAAAACGGTGGCTATCGTATTTATTGATTGGCTATCTCTCATCAAATGTAAATTTCATAATAATACCAAATGTACAGATTTACCATTTGAATAATTAAGAAGTGTATGTGTATGTGTGTATGTGCATGAAATTATTTTTTACAAGTCCGCAGTTTTTTGCGAGTAGAATAAATAAAGGCAATAAGAATAATCTTTATAATAAGAACAAATAAATTAAGAGATTAATTGTGCAGATTTGCGCGGGATGCTGTGTGACCTTATACCAGTGCCAACAATGAACATATATTCATAATTCATAATTCATACGTCAACTTAACATACTAACTAAACTTTCATTTAACAGAAAATCCAGATATGAATCATCGTAATAATAATTGGAAGAGAGACCATACGAATAATTGATAATTATGATGTACGTCGTTGATTATGTTGTAAAAACGCGAACGAGTCGGAAAGTACAAGACGAATTATCAAAATGAACGAGTGAATCCTCGGCAATCTTCTGGGCGAACAATTATGCGCCAAATTGAATCACGTTTTCGCCTCCATTGTAAGTACAGCCGTGCGTTGTATCGCGACAATTGATTTATGAATCCCTTCTGTACCGTAGCAAGAGAGAAAGAGACAGTTTTAATTGTTTTGATTTACCGAACACGTCTCGCAAATCCAATGTGTGATTTTTTTCAACAGATTTATGCGCAAACTTTCAATTTATCCAAAAATTTTCAATACCGATTTTACGGCATGCATAGTAGTGTGATGGTGATGAATATTCGCGCTGGGAATTCTTCGTGTAACGTTTAGCTCGATATGTGACGATAGGTGACGCGTTTACCTGGACAACAAAACAGAGATTGCCCGACATTACTCTTAATTGTGAACGAGCCTGTGAACTCGACGAAATATGCAAATATGCTGCGACATTTTCGATATCAAGCAATTGCACGGGATGCAAATCATCGCCGCTTATTCCGCATATCATCAGTTTATTGATAAATAGATCGTTTGACTAGTGATTATAAAAAGTTTTATTGTTATTTGCTACAAAAAATTATAAAAGTAAATTTTTTATTTAATCTGATTTCATTTTAGCATTAAAAAAGTAACGAAAAAAGTAACGAATCATTTTTTGTAGTGATAACGAA